ATCCAACGCTTTGCATTGCACTTGGTGATGTAAGGCTTGGATGCAGCTGTTCGGCCATGGAAACCCATTCCATGAGGCTCTCTACGCACTGTTGGGTTGCTAAACTGAAGGCCACATGAAGTTTGGAGGTCTTTAACTGTTGACTCTGCAGACAGTTGGCAACTTCTGCGCACTGTGCCCTTCAGCATGCGCTGATCCCGCTCTGTCATTTTACGTGGCCTACCACTTCGTGGCTGTGTTGCTGTTCTTCCCAGTTGCTTCCACTTTATTATAATACCACAAACAGCTGAGCTTAGAATATTTAGTAGCAAGGAAAGAAATTTCAGATGCACTTACTGCACAGGTGGCAACCTATCACGGTACCAAGCTTGAAATCACTGAGCTCCTGAGAGCAACCCATTCTTTCACAAATGTTTGTAGAAGCAGTCTGCATGCCTAGATGCTTGATTTTATATACCTGTGGGCATGGAGGTGATTGGAACACCTGAATCCAATGATTTGGAGGGGCATCCCAATAATTTTGGCAATATAGTGTATTTCTAAAGGTGCCAGTGACATGTCACCACATGTCCGTAACAACCCATGCAACACATACACACAAAGAAACCAAAACAAATAAGTTCAGAAAGTAAGTTATGTGTAATAAAATGGAATGATACAGGGAAAAGGTATTGAATACACTAACTGAAACTTATTTAATACATTGTACAAAATCCTTTGTTGGTAATGAAAGCTTTAAGCTTTAAGACTGGTTTCTCCTGCATGGAGAAACCAGTCGCCTGCATTGCTCAGGTGTGACTTTGGGCCATTCTTCCACACAGTCTTCAAATCCTGAAGAGTCCGTTGGCCTCTTCTACGAACTCTGATCTTTAGTTCTTTCCATAGTTTTTATGTTAGGTGACTGCCTGGGGCCATTCTAGCAGCTTTATTTTTTTTTCCTTTGAAACCAATTGAGAGTTTCCTTGGCTTTGTGTTTGGGATCATTGTCTTTCTGAAATGTCCACCCTCATTTCATCTTCATCATCCGGGTAGATAGCAGCAAATTTTTATCAAGAATGTCTTGGTACATTTTTCCATTCATTCTTCCTTCAAGATATGAAGATTGCCAGCACCGTATGCTGAAAAACAGTCCGACACCATGATGTTCCCACCTCCAAACTTCACTGTTGGAATGGTGTTTTTTGGGTTAATTTGCAGTGCCACTTGACATCGTGTGTATTATGGCATCCAAAGAGTTCAATTTTGGTCTCATCTGACCAGACTATATTCTTCTAGTATTTCACAATCTTGTCTAAATGTTGTGCAGCAAACTTTAAACAAGCTTCAACATGCTTTTTCTTCAGCAATGGAGTTTTGCATGGTGAGCGTGCATACAGGCCAATAGCAACTTTAGAAATAATGGTGACATGTTTAATATTTATGTTACCCGCTGTATGTGTTTATACATGTATGTACAGTTAGGTCCATATATACCGTATTTTCTGGCGTATAAGACGACCCCCTAATTTTCCAGTTAAAACATAGGTTTTGGGCTATACTTGGCGTATAAGACTACCCCACTTCTGAGGCAACACCATTTAACCCCTAGCCTACAGGGCACTTATACCCACTTCCTCCCCAGGCCAATTTTCAGCTTTCAGCGCTGTCACACTTTGAATGATAATTGCGCGGTCATGCAACACTGTACCCATATGAAATAGGTGGCGCTGATGGGCACTGATGAGGAGGCACTGGTAGGTGGCACTGATGGGCATTGACAGGTATCACTGATGGGCACTGAAAGGCAGCACTGATACATGGCACTGATAGGCGGCACTGATGCGCACTGATAGACGGCACTGATGCGCACTGATAGACGGCACTGATAGGTGGCACTGATTGGCAGCACTGATGGGCATTGACAGGCATCACTGATGGGCACTGAAAGGCAGCACTGATACATGGCACTGACTGGCACTAACTGGCACTGATGGGTGACACTGAAAGGCAGCTCAGATGGGCACTGATATGTGGCACTGATGGACACTGACAGCTGGCACTGCTGGGGCTACACTGATCATCAGTGCCCTGATGATCAGTGTACATGTCCCCTCCGCGGAAAGCTGATTACCGGCTCTCCTCTCCTCTCGAGCTGTCAGCGTGACAGCTCGAGAGGAGAGAAATGCCGATAACCGGCATTTCCCTGTTTACATGTGATCAGCTGTGATTGGACACAGCTGATCACATGACCGAGCCAATATCTTCGGCTCTTTCCGTGATCGGTGATAGCTGTGTCCGAGGGACTAAGCGCATCACCGTGCATGCGCGGAGAATAGGAGGACGTCATATGAGCCAATCACAGCAAGTGATGTATTCTATTAAATGAATACAGAGCCTGCTCAGATTGGCTGTGTCAGAGAGGCGGGCTGATGATGTCACAACTTCAGCCAATCCAAGCAGGCTCTGTATTCATTAATAGAATACATCGCTCGCTGTGATTGGCTCAGCGCGGTACACTGTATGTAGCTGAAGCTACCATACAGTATTACCGCACATCCAGCGTTCTATACCCGGCGTATAAGACGACCCCCAATTATTGGGGTGTGTTTTTAAGTACAAAAAGTCGTCTTATACGCCGGAAAATACGGTATTTGGACACAGGCAAATTTTAGTTTTTTCAAGTATTTACATAAACACCTTCAAGCTATAATTATATAATGGCTATGGGCTGAAAGTGCACACTCTTAGGTTTAATTTGAGGGCATGTACATCCAAAGTGGAGGAAGGGTTTAGGAATTACAGCTCTTACAAGTAGCCATCCTCCCTTTTTCAAGAGACCAAAAGTGATTGGACAACTGAATCAAAAGCTGTTTCATGGCCAGGCGTGGGCTACTCCTTTGTTATTTCTTCATCAATTAAGCAGGTAAAAGGTCTGGAGTTGATTCTAAGTGTGGTATTCAACAGACTCTGGGTGGCTGCTAGCCCCTATCTATATTACCAAATAGTGATAACAAAAGTACAGGGAATAGTGCTGCACTATCCCAATAGTGAATTTAAATAAGTGAGATAAATAGAAAAAAATTTAATAAAGTATGCACAGATGAATAGAATAAAAATTACCAGCAGGTGAACAAATGAAATAAATATGACTCAATCCCGTGGGTGAAGAAAAAAATATATATAAATACTGCGCTACCCCTGAGGAAGTCACGTGATTCGTGATGTAATGCATAGAACGGAAGCGTGGTGATGTCATTTCCGGCGTGGACTGCAGCCGCCATTTTGGTACACCTATCTCACTTATTTAAATTCACTATTGGGGTAGCGCAGCACCATCATAGAGATGGCAGCAACATTAGAAGTGGCAAAATCAACCGTTTGGTGCATTCTGAGAAAAGAAGAATGCACTGGTGAGCTCAACAACATAAAAAGGTATGGGCGTCCACCGAAGACGACAGTGGTGGATGATCACAGGATCCTCTCTATGGTAAAGAAAAACCATTCACAACATCCAGACAAGTAAAGGACACTCTCCAGGACGTTGGCGTATCACTGTCAAAGTGTACAATCAAGAGAAGACTTCACGAGAGCAAATACAGAGGGTTCACCACAAGGTGCAAACCATTCATAAGCCAGATTAGACTTTGCCAGATAACATCTAAAAAAGCCAGACCAGTTCTAGAAAAGCATTCTTTGGACGGATGAAACGCAGATTAATCTGTACCAGAATGATGGGAAGAAATAAATGTGGAGAAGGCTTGGAACAGCTCATTATCCAAAGCATACATCATGGTGGAGGCAGTGTGATAGCATAGGCATGCATTTCACTTTCTGAAGGCAAAACTAAAGGCAGAAAGACCCTCAAACAACTAAAGGCAGCTGCAATTAGAGCCTGGCAAAGCATCAAAAAGGAGGAAACCCAGTCTTTGGTAGTGTCCATGGGTTCCAGACTTCAGGCAGTCATTGCCAGTAAAGGATTCTCAACAAAATATTAAAAATTAACATTTTTTATTTCTGAGTATATTCATTTGTCCCATTACATTTGAGCCCCTGAAAATGGAGGGACTGTGCATAAAAATGGTTGCAGTTCCTAAAATTTCTACTAGATATTTATGTTCAACCCCTTGAATTAAAGCTGAAATTCTGCAGTTCAAATTCATTTGGATTGCTTAGTTTTAATTTATTCTGGTGGCATACAGAGCCAAAAGTCTGAAAATTGTGTCTGTGCTCACATATATATGAACCTAACTGTATGTGAGTTTATGTATGTGTGTACAAGCATATATCTATATATATCTCTATCTATATATATATATGTGAGTTTATGTACAGTATGTGTGTGTATGTACAAGCATATATATATATATATATATGTGTGTGTGTGTGTGTGCGCGTGTGTGCACGTGAGATTTTGTATGAGTGTATGTACTGTATGTGTGTGTATGTATTTAGTTACGTACATACAGTTGTGCTCAAAAGGTTGCATACCCGGGCAGAAATTGTGAAATTTTGACATTGAAAATATGACTGATCATGCCAAAAAATGATCTTTTATTGAAGGATGATCATCATATGAAGCCATTTATTATCAAATAGTTGTTTGGCTCCTTTTTAAATCATAACAGAAATCACCCAAATGGCCATGATCAAACGTCTACATACCCTGGAATGTTTGGCCTTGGTACACACAAGGGTTAAAATGCCAAATACAGGTTAATGTCCGACATCTGTGACTTTTTAACCGCTAGCCTACAGGGCACTTATACCCCCTTCCTGCCCAGGCCAATTTCCAGCTTTCAGCGCTGTCACACTTTGAATGACAATTGCGTGGTCAAACAAAACTGTACCCATATGAAATTTTTATACTTTTTTTGTGACAGATAGAGCTTTATTTTGGAGGTATTTAATCACCTCTGGGGTTTTTATTTTTTTCTTAAACAAACCAAAAACCACTGAAAATTTTGAAAAAATGTTTTTTCTTAGTTTTTGTTATAAAATTTTGTAAATAAGTGATTTTTCTCCTTCACGGATGTGCGCTAATGAGGCTGCACTGATAGGCTGCACTGATGGGCATTGACAGGCATCATTGATGGGCACTGAAAGGCAGCACTGATACATGGCACTGATAGGCGGCACTGACAGGGGCACTGATAGACAGCACTGATAGGTGGCACTGATGGGTGACACTGAAAGGCAGCTCAGATGGGCACTGATATGTGGCATTGATGTGCACTGGTAGGCACTGATATGTCACTGATGGGCACGGGCACGAGGCACTGATGAGCACTGACATAAGGCACTGATGGACACTGACAGGTGGCACTGCTGGGGCTACACTGATCATCAGGGCACACTGATCATCAGTGCCCTGATGATCAGTGTACATGTCCCCTCCGCGGAAAGCCGATTACCGGCTCTCCTCTCGAGCTGTCAGCGTGACAGCTCGAGAGGAGAGAAATGCTGATAACCGGCATTTCCCTGTTTACATGTGATCAGCTGTGATTGGACACAGCTGATCACATGACCGAGCTGACATCTTCGGCTCTTTCTGTAATCGGTGATCCGCTGTGTCCGAAGGACACAGCGCACCGCTGATCGCCGCGCAAGCGCAGTGAGAATGGGAGGACGTCATATGACGTCCTCCCAAAACGAGAGAACCACCTTGCGCCCGTCATATTACTATATGGCGGGCGGTGGTTAAATTGCAAATATGTCACTGTATAAATAGTCAATGAGTTTGTTAGCTCTTACCTGGAAGCACTTACTAGGCTAGATACTGAGCCATGGGGATCAGCAAAGAACTGTCAAAAGTCTTGCGTAACAAATGGAACTTTATAAAGATGGAAAAGGACATGAAAAGATGTCCAAAGCCTTAAATATGCCAATCAGTACTGTTAAATCACCTATTAAGAAGTGGAAAGTTCGGGGATCTCTTGATACCAAGCCAAGGTCAGGTAGACCAAGAAAGATTACAGCCATAACAGACAGAATTGTACGGGATTCCAAGAAAAATCCACAGGCAACCTCAAAAGAAATACAGGCTGCTCTGGAAAAAGATGGTGTGGTTGTTTTTAAGGAGTACAATACGGTGATACTTGAACAAAAATGAGCTGTTTGGTTGAGGTGCCAGATAGAAGCTTTTACTGCACCAATGCCACAAAAAATCCCAGTTACAATATGCCTGACAACACCTTGACATGCCTAACCAGGCCTTTTGGTGTCATTGATGCAGTAAAGGCTTCTTTCTGGCACCTCGACCAAGCAACTCATTTTTGTTCAAGTGTCATCATATTGTGGTCCTTCAAAACAACCACACTGTCTTTTTCCAGAGCAGCCTGTATTTTTCTTGTGGTTACCTATGGGTTTCCCTTTGTATCCCGAACAATTATTCTGGCAGTTGTGGTTGCAATCTTTCTTGGTCTACCTGTACTTGGCTTGGTATCAAGAGGTCCCTGCATTTTCTACTTCTTAGGTGGAAGTGATGACTGGCATATTCAAGGCTTTGGACATCTTTTTATGTCCTTATCCATCTTTATAAAAGTCCCATTACCTTGTTACGCAGGACTTTTGATAGTTCTTTTCTGATCCCCATGGCTCAGTATCTAGCCTAGTCAGTGCTTCCACGTAAGAGCTAACAAACTCATTGACTATTTATACACTGACACTAATTGCAATTTAAAAAGGCACAGATGTGGGACATTAACCTCTAATTGGCATTTTAACCCCGTGTGTGTCACCTTGTGTGTCTGTACCAAGGCCAAACATTCCAGGGTATGTAAACTTCTGATCATGGCCATTTGGGTGATTTCTGTTATCATTATGATTTAAAAAGGAGTCAAAACAACTATTTGATAATAAATGGCTTCATATGGTCATCATCCTTCAATAAAGAGAACTTGGCATGATCAGTCATATTTTAAATATCAATGCCAATATTTCACAATTTCTGCCAGGGAGTGCAAACTTTTGAGCACAAATGTATGTTTATATGCTTGTGTGTGTATGTATGTCTTCACGTTACTGGTAGGCCTCGTTCACACAGATGTACATAAGCATACACCCATGCAAGGTCCATGCTTGCCTGCATGGGGATGCACTGGTGTTCTGTGCATCCCTGTGCAGGCAGTTCTATTCATGTTAATAGGGATGCAGCAGTTGCACAGACAGAGCCGCTGACCCCAAATTTGATATCTGTGTGGGTGTAGGTCCCTGAAAGCAGACAGTGTGCTTTCGGATATCTGCACCTACATGGATATCAAATTGCGAACAGCAGTTGTGTCTGTGCATCTGCTACATCCCAATTAACATATTTGGGACGTTCTGAACGGGGATGCACAGAACACCTGTGCATCCTCCTGATGGCAAAAACACAACCCACACAGGGATGTACACTTAAATATGCGCATGCTAATAAGGCCTTATTCCCAACTCCTACACTCTGTACAAACAGGTCTGCTTTTCTAAGCTGGCGGGACTGCTTTTTCTACACTGGGGTGTTCCAAAACTGGAACAATTTTCAAAGGATGCCGTGACTGAAAAAAAGGCAAGAAACTTTGCTTTAAATGAATAAAAATGTGTATGTATTGCATTTTTTTTTTTAATTCTCTAACATACAAATAAGGCTGTCCATAATCAGTATATACCATAACCTTAGACTACAATTAAACCTACCAATTATACTGAGTGTGAGATAGAGAGTGGGAGTGAGTCTATCTGCTTATTAGATCATAGTTCTCAAATTTACATTTGGTAAATGTGTACATTATTATATAAATATTTAGAATAAAATTAATAGGATTACTTCACATGGATACCATCAGTCTATAAGTCTATCTCATTCTGTCTCACTGTGGAACTGGATATTTGTAAAAGGACATACTGTTAAGATCTTTTGAGATATCACAGACGTACAGTGGTTTTCCTCTGCAAGATTAATTTTTAGTTAGCAGAAATGCATAACCGTGAAAGCACTTGTGAAAAGAAGGTGGGGTAGTTTCACAGAACTACAGGTGAAAAGGAATGTGTGGGAAGCTAAAAACCGTTAAAATGTATGTTAAAGGTACCAATTAAAGAGTTTCTGCACAGTAAGAGACAAAGGAGTGAATATGCTGTGAAATTACTCAGGTCTCCTTGGCATCTATGTTATCTCACAAGAAAAAACAGCTACACAAAGTGGATACGTCAAGAGGGCACGAGCGTAAAAAACATTATATAATGAATACTGTTTGCAAGTATGGTTATTTTGTTTCTTCCTTAAAGCTGAACTCCATGCAAGCAACAAAATACACAGATGAAATGCATAGATGGAAGTGATTTTAAAAAACCAAAATGATTTGACTTTTTGTCCATTCAGTCCTAAGATTTAAACAACTATGATACACAGCACTGCCACCCTGGCAAAGGAGGAGACCTGATCTTTCGCTTTTCACTTTTACTTAACCACTTCCCCCGTCCGGCCGCTGTTTATAAACGGCAGGACGGGACACCTACAGGAGCGGGTTGCCGTCTCTAAACGGCACCTTCTATCTGAGGCTCGTGCGCGGCTCCTAGAGCGCGCACCCGCGAGCCCGATGATCGCCGAGTCCGACGGACACGGTGGATTACGTGACATGGTATGGGACCAATGAAATCGGTCCCATACCATGTGATCAGCTGTGTCCAATAAGGACACAGCTTAAGTGTAAACAAAAGCCGCATTGGTGCGGCTTCCGCCTCCTTCTCCTCACACGGAGTTGTCTGTGAGAGGAGAAACATCGAAGAAGAGGTTGTAGCTAACTGCCCTCCACCTCAGTGACACCTGATCGCCCCTAAAGTGTCCCTGATCGCCCCTAAAGTGGCCCTGAAGTGGCGCCCCAACCAAGTGGCTTTGATTGCCCCCACAAGTGGCCCTGATCGCCCCCACAAGTGGCTTTGATTGCCCACAAGTGGCTTTGATTGCCCCACAAGTGGCTTTGATTGCCCATAAGTGGCCCTGATCGCCCCCACAAGTGGCCCTGATCGCCCCCACAAGTGTCCCTGATCGCCCCCCACAAGTGTCCCTGATTGCCCCCAAAGTGTCCCTGATCGCCCCCACAAGTGTATAACTGATTGCCCCAAGTGTCCCTGGATTGCCCCAAGTGTCCCTGATTGCCCCAAGTGGCCCGGATTGCCCCAAGTGGCCCGGATTGCCCCCCAAGTGGCCCGGATTGCCCCCAAGTGGCCCGGATTGCCCCAAGTGGCCCTGATCGCCCCACAAGTGGCCCTGGATTGCCCACAAGTGGCCCTGTGATCGCCCACAAGTGGCCCTGATTGCCCACAAGTGGCCCTGATCGCCCAACAAGTGGCCCAGCAGTGTCCCTGATTGTCAGTGTCCCTGATCGCCACATAGTGGCCCAGCAGTGTTCCTGATCGCCAGTGTCCCTGATCGTCACAGTGTTCCTGATCGCCACACAAGTGGCCAAGCAGTGTCCCTGATCGCCGCAGTGGCCAAGCAGTGTCCCTGATCGTCACACAAGTGGCCCAGCAGTATCGCCGCAGTGGCCAAGCAGTGTCCCTGATTGCCACACAAGTGGCCCAGAAGTGTCCCTGATTGCCGCAGTGTCCCTGATCACCGCAGTGTCCCTGATTGCCGCACAAGTGGTCCAGCAGTGTTCCTGATCGCCACAGTGTCCCTGATTGCCGCACAAGTGGTCCAGCAGTGTCCCTGATTGCCGCAGTGTCCCTGATTGCCGCAGTGGCCCAGCAGTGTCCCTGATCGCCACACAAGTGGCCCAGCAGTGTCCCTGATCGCCCGCACAAGTAACCCAGCATTGTCCCCTGATTGCCGCACAAGTGGTCCAGCAGTGTCCCTGATCACCGCAGTGGCCCAGCAGTGTCCCTGATCACCGCAGTGTCCCTGATTGCCGCACAAGTGGTCCAGCAGTGTCCCTGATCGCTGCAGTGGCCCTGATTGCCGCAGTGGCCCAGCAGTGTCCCTGACCACCACACAAGTGGCCCAGCAGTGTACCTGATCACCGCATTGGCCCAGCAGTGTTCCTGATCACCACACAAGTGGCCCAGCAGTGTCCCTGATCACTGACATTGGCCCAGCATGTGTTCCTGATCACCACACAATTGGCCCAGCAGTGTCCCTGTCCCTGATCACCGCAGTGAGCAGTGTTTCACCACACAATTGGCCCAGTGTCAGATCATCGCAGTGGCCCAGCAGTGATCGCCGCACCCAGCAGTGTCCCTGATTGCCACAGTGTCCTGTCGCAGTGTCATGTGGCCCAGCGGTCGACCATTGCTGAACTGCAGTGGGCCCAGCAGTGTCCCTGATCACCATTACAGTGGCCCAAATAAGTGTCTATGATCAACTTACAGTGTGCCCAGTTCACCGAAAGTGTCCCTGCAGTCTGCCACACCAGTGGATCCTGTTCACTGCCATCGTCTGTGAGGAGAGTGATCCAGTACAGTAACTGATGAGTAATTTTCAGCCTTTGCACCAGAGTTTTTGACACACCACTCACAAAACATTGCCAGCCACCTGTATGATTCTCCTGATTCCCAACAGTGGTCTAGTGTTGAACCAACTGCACAGTGGCCCAGCAGTGTCCCTGATCACAACACAA